CCCTTCGGTACCGGATTGTGACAGGCAGTCATACTCATTATTTACAAGGAACAGAACAACTTTATCTGATTTGCTTTTTCTTCCAGCTACTTCCTCCAAGTTCTGTCACTCACTCAGGACCGTGTATGGGCTAGTTTGCAAAGAATATAATTTTTTAAATCTCATGAGTCAACCCTTATTTATTTCCATTCTTCTGTTGAGCTACACTTAAAAAAATGTGTCATGCAAATCTTCACAAATACAACTTTGCTATGAAGTGTGTGTCCCAATTCAAAAGATTTTATAGTTAACTAAATAAGGGAAGCCTTGTCTTACCTTTTGTTCAAGTTTAGCTTGTGCTATATCATTTGTTTTCGTTTTCAGTTTGGAAAGAATGGCATTTAGTTCATTTGCTATCTCCTGGATTTTCTGACCAAACTCTTGATTTAATGTTTTGACCTTCTGAGTTTCTCTTTCTTTGGTTTGAATCTGTCAACAAGAAGAGTTAAATTCAGTAACCAGAGATATCTCCTCCAGAAAGGAAATTAACTTTCATTTAACTTACTTTAATTTAAAGTAAGAAGGTAATAGAAATACACTATGTTGTCACTGTTTGAATACATTTGGGTATTGTATTTCACTAAGTTATAAAGTCTAGAGAGAAACTACAGAACTGTAATGCATTTATCTACTATGCTTTACCTGATCCTGTACAGTTACAAGGGCCAGCCCAACTTCTGCTAAATGAAGAGAGAGTTCAGAAGGCAAAATGGTATAAAGCCCCAAGTACTTATTCTGTTGTTGTTCGGCCATTTTTTCAACAGCCTGGCGATGAGTAGTTACTTCCTCAAGGAGACACTAATGACAGAAAAACAGGATTCTTAAGAATAATGGCACAAACATGTTTGTATAAACTTAGCAAATACATATGTTACATGCAGCTTGCAATAAAGCTAATTCACATTTTTAATTAGTTCATTAAAAATTTTATCTTGGGATTCCCTGGATTCTCATTAATGACTCTCTGTCCAGTTCTCTGTTCCTGTGCCACCACGCATGTATACAGAAAATGTCAATTTTTCAGCAGTTCAAGTGAAATGTTTATTTTACTTTGTTGCTTCACTCTACACCCCAAAACTCCCAAGACAGAAATGTCATATTCTGTAGTACATTCTATACATTTATACATATATAAACGTATACATATACATATGTATACATTCTTTCATTCCCCCATATTTTAGATGAGAGAAGAAAAACTACTAAACAGTATGCTAGCATGTAAAATTGCACAAATACTTCAATATATCTTAAATAAGCTCACCAGCTACTTCATGCTGTACAAATTAGTCTAGTGGCTTTCTCATAAACTAATGAACATCATCTGATTTGAATTCATGGTGGTTTTGAATGGATTAACACTCACTAGCATATTACAATGAAGATAAATACTATAATTTAGAAATGGACAAATTTAATATACCTGCAGCTCCTGAAGCTGAGTATCTACTTCTACATCAGAGCTTAATAAATATTCTTTTGTTTCCTGTATCCAGGACTTCACAATATTAATCTCTGCTTCAACCTCCTCACGCTCCTTCAGCTCCTGTTTCACCATCTTCACACCTTTTTTCACTTTCTGTTGCATACTTCAGAAATAAAAAAAGAATAACTATTTGCGAAGAATTAAGCAATATCTAAAAACATTGCTTTCTCAAAAAATGAATAATAAAGATAATGATTGGTAGCCCCACATCTAGAGTAATAAACAGTGGAGTGTTGTTGCGACAGACTATTAAAGCAGCACACTTAAATTGCTCATGTTCATTTTTCAGTTCATCCCTTTTAATTAGCAGTTTTTATGTATTTTGACATCAAATACACAACTCTTTTGCAGAAACTTAAATGTCTATGATACAGACATACATTTGAGCCCATCACCACAGACTGCCCTCATTGTCAGTGGAGGAAGCAGACAATTCTAGGGCATGATTTAGGATGATTCATCATCACCCTAAAAGCAACTTCTAATATAGGCCAGAAAAAAAAAAAGCATCTTAGACCTGTCTATTTCTCTCCTCTAATTAGAGAGAGAATTAACAAGTTCAGATGCAGATCTCTTATTATCTAAAATAATATGAGATAAATTCCACCCCTATTGATGGGATTTGCATTGGCAGAATACTTAGGACAGGGCATGGAGCAAACATGTAACCCCATTTTTTTTATCCAGCGACCTATCTCAGCACTTCCTCTCAAAAGCATGCAGTTTGCTCAAAAACCTGGCTCTCCTGTGAAAAATACAATCTTTTTCAGATGACAGCTCTGTGAAAGATGTACAGGACTGTTTTTAGCTCTTATGCATGTGACGATCATCTTATTTTGATATTCCCATATTTGATTTATGTTTGTATAAACTTTCACAGCTGAATCCTGTCTTATTTACATGAGCATGAGATCATCACAGACTCTATTTCTTAGAACCAATTCTAAGGGAAGAACGGAATTTAAAAAACGTTAACACCCACACATTTTCTACAAGGGTTGTTATTTTACTGTACTCAGTTATGCAAGCACACAATGAATTCATACTCCT